CAAACTCAAAACACAGTACCCCTGAAGAATTCCAAGCTCAAAACACTTTACCCCTGAAGAATTCCAAGCTCAAAACCCTTTACCCCTGAAGAATTCCAGGGATCCTCGACAGGGGGGGTACGGATATTAAATGGAATAGCCCATTAGAATTATAGTCTTGAAGTTGAGATTATAGGTTGAAGGGTAGGATTACTGGACGTGAAATTATAACTTGAAGGGAAAAACCTACTATTAATAGTTATGCTGTCACAGTGTCACACAAACTTTCAAACATGCATATGATTTATTAGTGAAGTTTGTGTCGCATGTGATTTCGGAGTCTTTAGTCAAAAGTTACATTTTGTGAACAAGAGTCACGACGTTATCGCTTACACTTTACACTATTATTAATTCGTTCAGTTTCCAAACTATTCTGTGCTACCGTCATATTTTGGTCATTACATATCGTCTATTATATATCACATAAATACAGTTTTTAGTGATTCGACAAAATAAGATCAATGTCCAATGAACGTGACTGTGACTATTTACATTTTAACATTGTAATAAAATTATCGCCATGTATTCAGTTCCAGGCTATAGTTTCATTCATCCAAAGTACATTGAAAAACCCAGCAGCGGCCATAGGTATTGCAATCCTAGAATCAGCATTATCTACGGTTGTTCCTTTACGCTTCACAACAAGTTTCCCCGTAAGTGTATCAAACGCCATTTCCTGTCTGCTTGATCGCTTAGTTGAGTCTGTTTCCCATTTTCCCGTAGTTGCATTGAATCGTTTAGAAAGGGTTCCATCGCTTTGAGTTAAGTGGAGTCCTCTTTGAACAACTTTTGGATCAGAACGTTTAGAAGACCGGCTCATTTTAAGGTGAACAGATCAATTGAGCGAAGAATTTATGCAACTTTTACAATAAAACTACTCCTTCGCTCTACCAGCTGAGCTGTTCACTTTTAGTTTCGATTTTCGGAAATTCCTGACCGCTAGCTGTCACTTCCTGTTTCCACTCTTTTTCCACGAATACGGATTTCGCATTAATTAAGGCTATGTTTACATCGTATCGGATCGGTTTTTGCTTCGTTCATGAAACGTCACGGCCCAAGTGTAAACAGCTTCCGCCCCCGCCCATCTAAATACAAAAATATTATAAGTGAGCAAGCTATATCCGCAAATAAGATTAGAATAGCAAGTCTTTGATTCCCTAATGCCATCTTGAGTCACGCATTGAACCGAAAATTGCTCCGATTGGTGTTTACATTACAATGAGAGCGTTGCAAAAAGCGATCCGATACACAGCGCACCACTTCGAAGAGCGAACCGCCGCACCACCGGTCCGTTGCAGAAATTGAGACGATAACAACATTTCATATGTAAACAGAAGCCCTATCCGGTATGGTTTTTGCGTCGGACGCAAAGTGATCCGATACAATGTAAACATAGCCTAAAATGCTCACTCGACCATTTTCCATATCGTTTAATGGCCTATATTAACCATCGGGCGTTAAGGCGCTGTTATACACTATGTCTCTCCTATGCACTCGCAATTTTTCTGCCACACACCGCTTTGTACGTATAAAATTGCAAATTGTAACATGATATCTTGTGCGAGGATTGCATTTTAATACGAGACTACGTCCTGCTCATAGTTCATATAAGGGGCGGACCATTTGATTTTTGAGGGGGGAGGTGGAAGATTCAGTCTGTGCAAGAATTTTTTTTCCGCCCAGGCGAACGAGACAGATATTTTTTTCCTGTAAAAGTGCAGCGCAAGATATTTTT